TCAAGTTTGATCCTACTCCCACTGACTCTTTTGGAGACGAACTCTCGCTCCATAAAAGTCGTATTCCTGGCAATGAACACCTTGTTCTCTTCCGGAATGTAGAAGTAGTAACCCTTAGTTTTCTTAGGGTAGCCTACAAATAAACACTTATCAGATTTGGAGGATAACTTATCAGTCATCTGACGCTTCACGTAAGCGTCGCAACCCCAAATTCTGACAAACGATAACGCGGGACGCTTCCCCGTCCATATCTCATATGGTGTCGTTTCAGCCGACTTCGTTGGACCCCTGTTTAGCAGGTACGCAGCGGTCTCTAAAGCATAGCCCCAGAAGAACTTCGGAAGATCTGTCTGACTCATCATAGACCGAACCATTTCTAACAGTGTTCGGTTCCTCCGTTCTGACGCGCCGTTCCACTGTGGCGTTCCAGGAGGAGTTAATTGTGATACAATACCACAATCAACCAGATAGTCAGTGAACTCTTGGCTCATATACTCGCCACCACGATCGGATCGAAGTGTCTTGATTGTCCTACCAAGCTGGTTCTGTACTTCGTTTCTGAAAGCCTTGAACATTTCAAGTGTTTCAGATTTATGTCTCATCAAATAGACATAACCGTATCGGCTGAAATCATCAGTGAACGTAACGTAAATATAGATAACCTCCTCTAGCTGGACAGCTCATTGGTCCGCATACATCACTATGTATAAGAGCCAATAACTCAGTCGCTCTCTGTCCTTTCCCTTTGAAAGGATGCTTTGTCATCTTGCCCATTAAACAAGACTCGCAAGATTCAAGAGACTCAAAGTCAAATGAATCCAGAAGACCTTCAGAATAAAGGTTCTGTATGCGCTTCTCGTTTATATGGCCTAGACGACAATGCCAGAGGAAGGTCGGGTTTAAGTCGTTCGGCTTAAACCGTTTAGTACTCACGCTATAGATGGATGATGTCGAGTTCGAAGGCTGATCATTCAAGACATATAAACCATTAACTAGATAACCATTACCATAGTAAATATCGTCTCGATAAAACATCAACCTCGAGTTCTCAATCACAAATCGAAAACCATCCAAATCCAGACAAGAAATAGAAATAATGTTTCTGCTAATCGCAAGAACATAGTAACAATTACTAAGCTCTAAAACAAGTCCAGAAGGAAGATGCAAATCGTAAACGCCAACACACAATGCAGCAACTCTTGCTCCATTTCCGACGCGTAGATCCGCTTCTCCCTTAGCTAGCATCCTACTTCTTCTTAGTCCCTACACATTTTCACAAATGTGTGAGGCACTTCCATCAAGTCCGCAACCAAGTCACCATCGAGGTTCACTCCCATACGCTCAAGTTCTTCAACATGAGCTCTCATGTTGAGGACGTGGGTGTTGACAGAGCTGCCTCTCGGCATCTCCGTCTTCACCAGAGCTTTCAGCGTCTTGTACTTTTCAGTACGCGCTAGCTCCTCAAACGTGGTCTTGAGCTGATTGATCATATCAAACAAGCTCTTCCCCTCAAATTGCCTCTGCAGATTCGGGGCCATGCTTCCCAACATGAGACAGGAAATCTCATTGTCGTCAGTCTGATGCTTCTGCCAAGCATCCTTGACGGCTCTCGTGGCATTGGCCGCAGGCTCTGGTGGTAGAGCCCCT